AGAATCTGGCTCAGCTGGAGCCAGAAGAAGGGGCCGAGCATGCAGAGGTACGTGAGCACTTGGAGCTTGTTGGTGGACGACGCGTAGTACTTTCGGTATGACACCAAAAACGGCGTGATCGGCACGTACAAGACGATGACGATCGACCAAAAGAGCTTGCCAATAAGGTTGGCGTTGGCCCGGCGCTGGACGAGCCACGGGTCTTCGCCGAGAAGCTCCTTGACTTCGAGATGCAGAAAGTAAAAGGCGAGGAGCCAGTAGCCGAGGAAGGCTGTCGCCGCGAGCACCAAATCGCCCATGTTGTTGCCAGCGCGGCGCTCAAGAGCGTACACCACGACGATCGGCGTTGCAACCAGGATCGTCCAGAGAAGCGTGCGTCGGAGCAGCCACGCTTTGGCCTGGGCCTTGTACACAGCAGCCTCGGGGATCGCAAAAGCCGGGTCAAAGACGTACTTGCCGTCGTACATCCAGCGCGTGAGCTTGGTAAACTTGCGCGGCTTGAGATGGCGCAGATGGATGAACGCAAAAAATGCAAAGACGAGCGCCGCGAGCCAAAGCGTGAGCTGCGCGGGAAACGAGTCGATGAGATTCTGAGCGCGCTCGACCTCGTCACTCGCTTGGACGGCTCGCGACGCGACGACGGCGGCCCGCAGCCGAAAGTCGAACGTGACCGTCGTGAGCACGGCGCCGAGCATGAGAATGTACAAGAGCAGCTGCTGGTAGTACTTTCGCGCACCAAAGAGCTCCCACTTGACGTCCAGCACACGCTGCAGCACGACGTGCTGCAAAAGGTCGTGCTTGGCGCCACCGTCGTCCACGATCGAGTCGTTCAAGACGGAGTACAAGGCCGACGACTTGACGTTCTTCCGGCCGCAGATCGCGTCGAGCTGCGTAAAAGTATAGTCGTACCGGCCACTTGAGACGAACTGGTCGAGGTACTTGGCGGCAGCGGCGGGGTCGTTCTCGACTGCTTGGTGGAAGAGGCGCTCGTCAAAGTCGGCGCCATTAGCGACCATGAGCTCGGCGCGGAGGCTCGTGAGGAACGCGTTGGAAGAGTCCTTGGCGCGGTAGTGGGCTTCGTTGCGCAGCAAAGCCGCGCAGTTGACGTGCTTGAACTTCTCGGCGTATTCGACGGGCGACATGCCCGAGTCGTCCTCGAGCGCAATGTCGACCTTGGGGTCGAGAAGAAGCTTCTTCACGAGTTCATAGTCCCCGCTTGCGCACGCGTGTGAGAGCTGCGTCCGACCAGTCGCGTCGATCGCGTTGACAGCGGTGTGCAGGATCGACGGCAGCGTCCCGGGCATGGCAGAGGCCAATTAAAAAATACGGCTCACGCTGTCGATTGCCGTCGGGTTGTAAACCATCTGGTTTACGTTTGCTGTTCTATTGTACAAGCTCGAAGCTGCTCTCGACTCTACGATCTGTACAAGGGGTCGTTCGCTGTCTCGTAAGACTTGCAAAGCCTCCTCGTGAGCCACGGCCTCGCCATCGCCTTTGCAGCTCTCTTGGTGCTCGTTATGCGGCGCTCGCGGACATGCCCCAAGCGTCGTAGGAAGGTGATTGACCAGCACCGCGTCTGCGCTGGCTTGGATCGTGCGCCGCTCGTTGCTGTGTCGCGTTCGGTTGTGCTCGACCACCGCTGCGTGCTGCTCGTGCCAGTCGCAGATCCCTACCTTGCCTGCGCTTCCATGAACGCATGGAGCACGACGGCGCCACGCGATAAAATTTAGCACCTCAATAGGTGCTTCGATTATCAACAAAAATGACACCAAGCACATTTGAACGTGGTCAACGTTATCGCGTCGATTCAGTCGCGATGCAGCTTTTGCGCAGCGACAAGAATCGCTTGCATTTGACTCTGCACCGACGCATTGAGCGCCGCGAGCTGTGTGCTGAGGCGCTCGTTCTGCGCCGCCAGGTTCTGCACCGTGGCTTCCAGCGTCTCGTTCATCGCAACGTCGTCCAATGCGGCCGTCACTTCGTGCTTGGCGACGCGCTCTTCGAAGACCGGGTTGCGCACCGTACCACCGCCAGCAGCCTTGGGCAATGTCATCTCGAGCAGCTTCTCGCGCGCCGCTTCCGTGTGCCCCAGCATCGTCTCGAGGCGCAGCACGCAGCGCGCGTAGCTCGCCAGCGCCCGCGACTGCAGCTTGGCCCAGTTGCGGTCGACCGTCTTGTTCATCATCGCAAGCAGCAAGTTGAGCAGAAGCACGACCATGACCGCGCAGTGGAACATGCGCAGAATAAAGCCGAAATGC